TATATATATATATATATATATATATAAGAGTAAGAAAAAAGAAGTACTTGTGACTCGTTTGGAAAAAATATAACACTGTTTTTGATGGGTGGAGTCAATAAAAGGGGCTATTTGTTGACTATTTTTTACTCGAGCTTTCAATTGTGATTACAATTTTTATCAAGAGCTTCTAAAAAATACAAAATGTCTTACAAAGTTGAACTAGAAATAAAAAATTTTTTGTTAACTCACCAAATAAAATTAGTTTCTTATATAAAACTACTGCTTACATAATAAATACAAAAAATATTAATAAAAAAATGCCTTATTCTAATAAATGTTTCTCTGAAAAATTTAGATGAAGTGTCTTAAGAAAAAATTGAATTTATAAACAAAAATAGAGTAGCTACAACCAGCCTAAAATGACATAAATACTAACTTAAAAATTTTTATTTTTGACATATTGTCAAAAATAAAATTTAGTTTAAAAAATTCTTCTTTGTTAAGTAACAAAAAAGAAGAAGATTTATTCACCATTGATAGATGCCTGAAAAAATGTAACAAATACATGGAAAATTCAAAATGTGATATTTTACTGACTGCATAAATTAAATAGAAATTATATAATTATAAATTTTGCTTAAATTTTGAATTTCTGACCTTTTGTTTAAATTATTATCACTTTTGCTAATACAAACCATTTCCAAAAAAGTTCTTTTAAATTTATTACTTTCATTACATAAAATTTTAATATTATCAAAATCCATAATATGGTCTTTGTCTATTACATGCTCTGCCAAAGCACAAGATGGTTTCTTAATTCTACAATCACTCTTGTGAGAAATAATGCGATTTGAGAGATTTCTTCCAGTCTCACCAATATACTCAGCTTCACACTGAGTACAAACAATGCTGTATACTACATTTGTTTGATCTAATTTGTCTATAGGATATTTAGTTTTGGAATATAAAGATGAAATAGTTTTGATGTTCTTTGTTGCTATTTTTATATTGTCAATAACCTTTAATGTTTGTATTAATTTAGGAGTTAATAATGGTATAAAAGGTAGTGAATGATAATATATGTTTTGATTGTTGGATACAGTGTTTTGAGATTTAGCAAAAAATGGTGTTAAGTTATTTATATTTAATAAATTAGAAAAAAGCATCCTATGTAGCATATCAGGAGGATAAGAGTTTTCAATTAAAATATTTTTTAACAAATGAAGATCTTCTTGTAGGTAGTCTGGATGAGAAAGTTTTAAAACACGTTCCTTTAATCCTGTTATAAGGTTCATTTTCATTTTATTTGGATGATTAGAGTAATAGCTTATAAATCTATTACTACATATGGGTTTTCTGAACCATCTAGTTTTCAAAATATTGTCTGTATTTCTTACAATTCTCATGTCAAGGAATGGTAGAGAATTATCTACCTCTTCCTCAACTGTAAATTGTATATTTTGATTATGATTGTTGAAAATGTTGACTGTTTCAAAAATTTTGTGTTTAGGAAGTGCCAAAACTAGATCATCTACATATCTTTTGATAAATGGAATGAAAAAAGTGCAATTATTGATACAATCACTAATAACATCATCCATGACATAGCTACTTAGAATGGGTGAAAGACTAGATCCCATAGGGCTACCAAAAATTTGTTTAAAAAAACACCATTAAATATAAAAATATTAGAATCAAAAACAAAGTTGATGAGTGTTTTAAAATGTAATAAGTCAATATTAGTATGTTGCGAAATCTCATTCCAATGTTTTTCAACACTACTTATGATTAAATTTAAAGGTAAAATTAGTAAAAAGAGATGTTACATCAAAACTAACTAAAACATAATTTTGTGGTAATTGGAAATTATTAATGAAAGAACTAAAATCAAATGAATCTTTTATGTAAAAATTGTTGTTTAAATTATAAGCATTGGTTAAGATGCCAGTGAGGAGCTGATGTTATTAGTGATTCACAATTGAAAGCTCGAGTAAAAAATAGTCAACAAATAGCCCCTTTTATTGACTCCAACCCATCAAAAACAGTGTTATATATATATATATATATAATATATATATATATATATATATATATATATATATGTAAATACTTTTTCTTTTTGGGTGTGGTAGTCAATAAAAAATAGAGCTTTGCTAAGGCGTACTATTTATTCTGAAATCCGAGCTTTCGGTGGTTATTTGCCACCTTTATCAAGGTCTACAATGAAAATTACTGTGTTATAAAATTAGGCTGATGTAATATAAAAGTTAACAAACTTACCAGAAAGTGAGATTCATAGCATATAAAACACAACGTTAAATAACATAGTGTGATCTGAATTATTGAAGGCATTAAAAATTTTAAAAAACTTTAAAATAACTTAAAAATTAAAGAACATGTTACAAAGTTTTAAAAAGTAAAAAATAAGACGACATGTTTGACAAAAAACAGTCGTTTTCGCAGGTTTGAATTCAGTCACATCTCACGAACAGAAAGAGGTAGTAGGAGGATCCTTATTAAACAACAATAGTTTCCTCCTACTACCTCTTTCTGTTCGTGAGATGTGACTGAATTCAAACCTGCGAAGACGACTGTTTTTTTGTCAAACATGTCGTCTTATTTTTTACTTTTTAAACTTTGTAACACGTTCTTTAATTTTTAAGTTATTTTAAAGTTTTTTAAAATTTTTAATGCCTTCAATAATTCAGATCACATTATGTTATTTAACGTTGTGTTTTATATGCTATGAATCTTACTTTCTGGTAAGTTTGTTAACTTTTATATTACATCAGCCTAATTTTATAACACAGTAATTTTCATTGTAGACCTTAATAAAGGTGGCAAATAACCACCGAAAGCTCGGATTTCAGAATAAATAGTACGCCTTAGCAAAGCTCTATTTTTTATTGACTACCACACCCAAAAAGAAAAAAGTATTTACATATTTTTTCCAAACTAGTCAAAAAATTTTGGACTACCTTGTCTTTCTTTTCTTTCTTTTATATATACCTATATATATATATATATATATATATATATATATATATATATATATATATATATATATATTTATAATCTATAACTTTCTTTCTATTTTTTTTTTTTCATACTCATTAGTGATTTTGGGTTCTAACAATCTATTTGTCATAGGTCTGTTCTTAGTAACCTGCTTTGTAACAACTCTAAGGGCGAAGCACAAGACCACATAGTGGTGTAACTCTATAATTTAACAAATGAACAAACATTTCGTCTTCGTAGTTACATTTTATATATTTGTTTACATATATGTACTGTCTTTTCAGCCTACCCATTCGATTTTGGGTACATGGGACTTGTGAAAACATATTGTATATTGTACTGATTACAAAAATCTTTAAATTTAAAGCTGTTGTAGGGACTATTATCATATATGAATTTTGTAGAGATCCCAAAATTGGAAAATATTACTTTTAATAGCTTTAAAATGTCATCTATGCACTTAGTTAATCTATGGTTATTTTACTTTATTTCTGCCAAATTTTTCACATATTTATCACAAGACGATTAGCCCACTCAAATGTTTCCAATGAATCTGATAATAATATTAATTTTGACCAATTCAAGTATTTCCATTTCCACTTAATGTTTTAATGTAAGAAGCAATGCTACGTTCTACTATAAAACTTGAGATTTATATTTTACCACTTTTAAATTTAATTTTGTTGCAATACTACTTAATTGTTCATTTAGCATTTGCCTGCAAAAGATTGTTCTGCACATGACCAAAGTTTTTAATATACCTAATATTAGATTTGTCTAATTAATCTACATTGGAAAACATTTTTTTTTATTTCAAAAGATATTAGGTATAGTGCTATCAGACACTGTATCTACTTTAAAACTCATTACCTTATTTTCTATCCCTAACTTCAACATGATTTGGATTTTCTACTGTTTGGTTGACTTTCTCCTCTACTTAGAGGTGATTTTGTTTTGTGACCTGTCACATTATGAGTAAAACACTTTTACGGCTTAACTGGACATGTTATTGGATCACTATGAAATGCAAAATATCTCTGGCATTGATTTTTTCTCATTTGGTGTTAACTTAACTGACCATGACTTTCTGGCTGGTCATTTCTGAATTTATTGCCAGAGAAGCTTGAAGTTGACTCTGGATACTTGGTAATTTAATTTCCTTCTAATCGACTTTGATCTTAATCCACAGATAAACTTGTCCTTAAGTGCCTTTGTCAAGAATGTACCAAATTCAGCATAACATTTTTTTATTTAAAATCCTTTATAAAAGGTATATTATAAAATACTGAAACGGGCTATATCACAATTACAAAATGTTTTCAAAATCTATATTACATCATCAGTGTAACCTGAAAGTATGTAACCACTTTAATTAAAAAGAACGTGAAATTTGAAATGTTGAATAAGGTTAATACAAAATATTGTTAATAGGTACTTACTAGGTGTATTTGGGTAAAATCCCGTTAAATGTTATTAGTTTAAATTTCTGTTACATTGGATGTTCTTATATTTATATGTTGAGATGTTAAAGTTACCAATGGAATTGGTAACATGACATCGTACGACTCTACATGAGGTTGCTTCGTCCTGAGGCAAAGTGTCTACGAGGACTTGTTGATAGCAACTGATTAAAATGACAATATTGACATGTTAGGATGGAAGTCGGAACAAAGCAGTCAGTGTAACTTAAGGTATTTGTCTAAATATAACAGAAGCCAGCAATATTTAAAATTGAATAAGTTAAAATTATAATAATATAATAGTAGGAAAGCAACCATCAATGTTGTAGTTCTTAATGTAAATTTGTCCTAAAATTATGTTGAGAACATTGAAAAACATTGTTTTATAAATTAATGTAGCTAGACTGAAGTGTTGTGAAATTTTGTGGCTACTGATAGACAACCAATTATATCAGTACGTAACATGTACGTAACGTATTTTCCATTCTTCAACTTTACACAAGGCATGTTTAATTTTTATAAAAAACACTACATGCTTACCATTTATATGTGCCCCTGACTTAACCCAATCATCCATAATTATAGGATCGAGAGCATTTGTAACAGTTATTATGACGTCAGCTCCTCGTACACACTCTTCATTACTGATTACATGGGTAAATATGTTCGTATTATGTTTCACATTGAGCTCAGTGACCAATTGATTTGCTTTTTGAGGCGTTCTATTCCAAATTCTTATCTGTAAATTTAAAATAGTAATAAAAAACTGATGAATTGTTGCACATGCATTTCTAAATTGGTAATAAAAGAAAAAATAAAAAAGGGTGTAACTTTATACTTTGGATGATCCGTTTCGAGTTCATCATTAGGTCTCCAATAAGGTTACTTAACCAATAAAAAACATATTATAGTTTTTATAGTTTACAAATTATGCCAATATTAGATTAATATTAAACGTATTTGAATGTTATGAATAGAATATGGTTGACCCTTGGTAACGACACTATTGGCATATTTATGCAAAAAAGGGGGGTTAATAGAGAATATACTTTTCGCATCTCAATGGTGGGAATATATTTTTTGATGATGATCAGTATGACAGATGAAAAAAAAGACGACACAATACTAGGTATCCTTAATCAAGCTACTTCTCAAGAACCAAACCATCTTAACTTATGCTCTCTGCTTTTGGCAACAATTGGTGCCAACCCTAGACTTCCTCTAATATATTTATTCCTATTTTTATTCTTTAATACTACACTAATCCATCAAAGCGTTCTCATTCCCGCTACATGCATTCATCTATCCAACCCTAATTCTACTGCATGCATCTTCATCAAATCCCCTATTACTCTGTAACACCGATCCTAGATACTTAAAATTATTACTTTTTACAATAATTTCTCCATCCAAACTGATTATTGGATATTTCGGTTTCTTCACGTATCCGTCTATATATATATATATATATATATATATATATATATATATATATATATATATATACATAATCACCACTTAAAGACAGGACATAACTTTGACTTTAATAATGTAAAAAATATTAGAACAAATTGATAATTATAAAAATCGACTTTTCCTTGAAATGGTACACATTAATAAAACTCCAGAATCTATCAATTATAAGACAGACACCAACCATTTAAGTAATATCTACTGTAATATACTAAACAATATATAATATGATAGATCTTCATATCAGTATCTAACAACATCAGACCAATAACTGACTACGTACCATAAATTACATTTTATAGATCAATTTACCATGTTCCTGAATCTTTCTCAATATTCTACTTTTGCACCTTATTATATGGATAATACTGTCACAATATGTAATTGTTTATTAAAACTTATTCGCTAAAAATTGTACAATGGGAATTCACTCTATAAAATATTGCGGTTACCATAACTCCCAAATAAATTAAATCCAAAAAAATGTCATTTATCTAATTGGATATGTTATTAAATTTAAAATTTTTAATCTTAAGTTGTAAGTATTGAAATATTCATTTTGTTTACATATAATAATTAAAATAAATTTTACAGTTTTCTCCTGAAGAAGTCACAAAATCGTGACGAAATATTGAGAAATAACAAATAGAGTTTTATTTCACACAGACCAATTGCTGAGACTACAAATAATATTTAACACAGTACGGTCGAGAATAATTTGATAAATATATATATATATATATATATATATATATATATATATATATATATATATATATATATATATATATATATATATATATATATGTAGGAATTAGTTACTTTAGTCTTAAGTTAGAACTTATCGTTACGCCACTGTTCGAGCGCTGGGAAACGGGTGTTCAGGCAAATGGGTGGGGACTCGACGACGAGAGAGCGACGTGATAAGACGTAGCAGAGAGAGCGGTAACGAAAGTACGGTATGTGCATGTGCGGCATACAAAGTGACGAAACAAACGACGGTATGTGCTATAACATACATTGACGACGGTATGTGCGAAATCAGAGATCATACACAACGACGCTATCGAGTAATAAACGACGGTACGACGATAGACACGAGACATTTGCGAGTAAGAGTGATATTGCTATTGTGCACGAACATTATTATTTAGACGAACAGTTGTAGTGACGATAATAAATACTTTTAGTAAGCAAAACTTTATTTTACACCCTAGACAACACAACAAAGCCTACAATTTGGTGGCTCAACCGGGATCCAAAACATAAAAGGCGCCAATATTGTCGAAACATAATATTAGGGTCCGATTCGACACAGGAACCTCAGTGGAAGCGATATCGAGGCGTTTGGATTTTGCAACGACGCAACGACCATTTCGAGAACCGCTGAGTGGCTGGCGCCGACAGATCGCTTAGAGGACGGCTGACGTAACCTTTGGATAAACAAACAGTTGGAGGTATTATCTACGAACCGTTATCAGGTGAGAAGATGCATGCTTGACTTTTATGTTAATATTTCAAAGACTTAAAGGATCTGTTTACAGTATTTTGTGGACTATTTAAGATAAAAACACTTTGATTTATTTGGTTTTGGTTTCAATAAATTTTTATGATTTGGTTATGGTAAAGACATTTTAATTTAGATTACAGTTTCGCTAAAGGATATTTTTTATGTTAAGTTTTAATTCTAACTATGTAATATAGTAAAAAGTTACTCATTTTATGCTAATGAAAGAGACAGAAACTAATTGTTCACTGTCGCTAAACGTAGTAAGATATAATATGTTCTTATTGATGAATCTTGTAATTAGGAGTAATGAAAAATCGACGATGTGACACTACTTGTAGATATTTTAATTTGTTAAGTAAATGTTCGAGCACAATTAAGCAGTATCTCCGGTTTTAGTATACGCTACAGATTTTTTTATAAAGCAAAAGGGTTATTCATTTTTATTTGTTTTCTTTGTTAGGATGATTCGCACATACTATTGTTACTTTTCAGTTTAATGGGACAGTCTTTCATTTTGTACAAGAATGGCTAGTAACGAGGCGCGAGCTCTGATAAATTTTCCTAAAATCGAAGCAAACCTTAAGAGCGGTAACTTAAATGCTATTAAAGCGTTGCCTTTTATTGCTTTTGGCAATCGGGGTGAACCGCGTAAGCAGAGGAAAGCTCTTCGCGATTTTCAGGGGTATAATGTGGAACCAGATTCTCCTGAGTTCGAACGGATCGTGCACGATGCTAAAGAAAATGTTGAGTTACCTGATTTGATCTCCGTTTGTAATATTTTAGATTTAAATTATTTGGGTACAGTAGATGAAATTATTACACGGGTTTGTGATTTTATGAATGATCTCAATATCGACAAATACGACCAGGGAGATACAGACGAAGAGGAGAATGAAGTTGATGAAACAGTAACGACGCGAAAGGACACAGGACAAAGAAATACGGTAGGAGGTAATATAAGACCCAGAGGAGTTAGAGATGAAGAAATTCTTGAAAATTTAGAAAGAAATAGTACGGAATCAAGAAGAAATGTAGGTGACTTCTTTCCTATTAGTTTTAGAGACATTGAAGATACCATAAAATATTTTGATGGTAAAGAGGAGTACCCTATAGAAAAGTAGATAGAAGATTTTGAAGAAACAGCTGATTTGACGGGATGGAACGACCTTCAAAAATGAATCTTCGCGAAAAAATCATTACGTGGCATGGCTAAATTGTTCATTCAATCGGAAAAGGGAATAAGATCATGGACTATGCTGAAAAGGGCGTTAATAAAGGAGTTTGAGATTAAGACGAGTAGTGCTCAGGTGCACAAGCTGTTAATGCAAAAGAAAAAAGGGCGAGAAGAGTCTGTCCAGGAGTATGTGTTAGCAATGCGAGAAATCGGAAGTAGAGCAAACTTGGAAGCGGAAGTTATAATACAGTATATTATAGATGGTATTCCAGACGACGTAGCGAACAAAATTATTTTGTACGGAACTACAAACTTCGCGGAGTTTAAAGAGAAAATCAAGCTGTACAATCAGATTAAAACAGCAGGAGGATACGCTAGTCAAGGAGCAAAGCCAAAAAGGGAATGGAAATATGAAGAGTATCGGAATAAAAAAACTGAGAAGCCTAAAATAGAAAATAATAGAAGTGTCGTCTGCTACAACTGCGGAAAGAAAGGACACAAATCTCGGGAGTGTCCAGAGAAGGGTAAGGGGATAAAATGCTTTAACTGCAACGACTTTGGACATTTGTCAGCCAGATGTACTAAACGCGCAAGTAAGTCGGATTCCGTAAATGTTATTGAATCAATTCCTAAAAATAGTGTGAGACTCGTTATTGATGGGGTTGAGACACTCGCACTATTTGACACAGGAAGTGACATAAGCGCATTGCGGGAAGATGTTTATAATCAATATTTTTCGAAAATATCGTTAGACTAAGAAAGAATACCTCTTAAGGGTCTAGGCAATAATACGGTACGAACTATAGGCTCATTCACTCACGAGGGTATAATAAATAATGAAAATTGTCTTCTTAAATTATATATTGTCCCAACGCAGGCTTCAAATTTCAGGGCGATAATTGGTAGTGATATATTGACCCAGCTAGACGTAATTATAAATACGGACGGAGTCACGGTATTGAAAAAAGAAACTAGCAATTTTTTAATGGCGATCTCTTTAGATAACGATCGGGAAGATTTGGAGTTAGATCTCACACACATAGAGGAGGAGGAGAAACGAAAAACTATTAGAAAATTAGTACTAGGCTATCAGCCTAAAAAAATCAGGGACGTAAACATCGAGATGAACATTGTCCTAAAAAACGAGGAACCTATTTACCAAAGACCAAGGAGATTGGCACCACCGGAAAAGAAAATAGTTCGGGAGCAAGTCGAAGAATGGTTGGAACAGGGCATTATCCGCCCAAGTTCGTCGGATTTTCCAGTCCTATCGTATTGGTGAATAAAAGGGATGGACGGACTCGAATTTGTTGCGACTATAGAAAACTAAACCGAAATGTTATAAAAGATCGTTTCCCATTACCCATAATAGAAGACGTCCTCGATTGTTTACAGGGAGCGAAGATATTCAGTACCATATATTTAAAGAATGGATTTTTCCATGTCCCTGTGGGAAAAAACAGTATTAAATATACATCCTTCGTAACCCCAGATGGACAATACGAATTTCTCAAATGTCCGTTCGGATTATGTAATAGTCCAGCCGTTTTCCAGAGATATATTGCCCATATTCTCCGACCTC